AGCAGCCATATCACTTAACCACTGTGCCATCAGGGCTCCATTCTGCAATAATGACCCCATAGTAACTCTTTCTTCCTTATTTTTTCTCTTTAAAAATAATGGTAAGAATATTTTTAGGCAAAGATAAATTGAAAATGCTGAGGCACTTAGATGAAAAGTGTCATTTTAATATCAAGTGTTACTATTATTATAGATACCGGAGTATAAATTTCTTGACATCATACAGCATATTATTCATTTTTATATCCTCTGCAGCACCTAGCAGAGTGTCTTGCACAGATTAGGTATGCAATAGATATTTATTACAGAACATAATCAGAAGACGATATAAATTCAGTTTCACCTCAGGAAAATGAAAATGGGAAATAAGTACAAGAAGTAACAGTAGCTACATTATATATAGATCTTCTTCAGCTCAGTGGAATACGTACTAGTAGTAATACAAGTCAAGGTGACTTATTTTTAAATAATTTTATTGGATTTTTCACCTGCTTCAGAACAGCAGCTAGCAATGAAATAGAAAGTAGTCAGTAAGCATGTGGAACCAGTATCCAGTTTCCCTGGCTTTTATATCAGGTCCCCCGCTCCTTTCCTTGGCCTGATGGATAGGAATTATTAGGTACCCATAAAAAGGAAACTATACCCAGAAGAAAAAAAAAAAAGTTCCTTCAGAATCCAGAATGAAAAAGATAATACGAATGTGATCCTTGGCCTTTTGGGAAAAAATAAATACCTATAACTTTGGCCTCAGAATGAAGAACTGATGAAACTTCTTTCCGCCAGCTAATCCTGAAGTAAACCTAGAAGTTACACTTAAAGCAGTAGACTTGAGATTACAACCCCAAATCCCTATCCAACTACAACTTACTATGACATTTGGGAAAAGATGAATTAAAACAATTTGGAGGTGAATGACTCTTCCCCAGTAGAACCAGTCCTTCTCCAGGAAACTTAGGTATTTATGCATTCTTCGAGGCCAGAATTGTGGTCGGCTCACTGTATCCCATTCAGTGGTTGGTATGTACTAGGGTCCAATACACATGTATTGAATTTAACTAAAGAAAAGCCTCTCAGACCAATAATGAAGTACATGAAGGCAGAATTCCTACAATATATTACCAATGAAAATACAGTTTTTTCAGTAAAAGGTATCTTATAAATAAATGGTGCTGCTGTTGCTAATACTTAAATGCACTGACTTAACAGAAGACCTTCTGCCTGCTGTGTGGGTACAGAGAATGATTGCTACAACAGACATCGTTAATGAGCAGGGCTGCATCTGAAGATGCCATCATAGGGAGGGGATTGCATTTTTCCTTCTCAGAAAGCTTGTGTGCAGCCCAGCCTCCTCCACCCGGTTTGCCTCTTCTTGGGCCAAAAAACACGTTGGACCAGATTGTTTTTCCATGTCTGTTTAAACCATCGAGTCTGACGCGCCACTCTGTCCTACTTTCAGCTGTGTTTCAGATGACTCAGTAAAGCAGTACACATCTCGGGATCACCTAGCAAAGCACTTCCAGGTCCCCGTCTTCAAGTTTGTGGGCAAGGACCACAAGGTGAGCTGAATGCCTTGTCCTTTTAACCCCCAGACCTGACCCTTCCTTCTTGGTGCCTCGGTGTGTCAACCTTCTAAGACCCCACGATTGGGATCTGTATCAACTCTGTGAAAAACACTGTAAAACTGGCCATCTAGAAGCTCAGCACCTCCATTAATGTCACAATTATCTGCCTTCCCAATAAAATAACCGTGCTTGTTCAAAGTTAATATTATATGATCATAATGTTAAATCTTTGTGGGCAGGTGTGATTGAAAAGCCTGTATCGTGGGCACACAGCAAAGGATATGGACAGAAAATTCATAGAAAGGACAAATAGTAAAATGTTCAATGAAAATAGTACTTAAAATGCTAGTTAATATAATTATACGACACCATTTTATGTATATTAAATTTATAAAAATTATAAATTGCAATGCTTACAAGGTTATAGGATGAAGTCTATAGTGGCAGTATAAATTGCTATAAAACTCATTGCTGTCCAGTCAAATCCAACTCATAGCAACCCTATAGGACAGAGTAGAACTGCCCCACAGGGTTTCCAAGGAGCAGCTGGTGGATTCAAACTGTTGGCTTTTTGGTTAGCAACTGAACTCTTAACCACTGTGCCACCAGGGCTCCATAAATTGATATACTTTCTGGAAAGCTGTCTGGTAATATATAATAATAATTGTATTCTTTTATCTAAAAATTCCAATTCTGGCAGTTTCTCAAAAATAAAATATTTTTAAAGGTTCATTGGAAGCATTTATGGAGCATTGTTATGAAGGGGTAAGGGATGCCCCCAAACAGTGTATCAATTTAATGCAATATTAAGCAGTCACTAAAATGATAGGCGTGGAAAAAAATAGATATAAAAAAAGCTGTTAAGTCATAAAATTAAATCCAGTAGTTCTACATGCATATTGAATATGCTACAAAAAAACAAAAAATATCCAGGTGTATACATGATAGAGGTTATAAGAGGCTACCAAAAAAAGGCTATAGTTGTGTTAAGGTGGAGGGTTTGGGGTTTTTTAGTACAGGTTGTTGAAACATTTAAACAAAAGAAAGCTTAAGAGGCCAACATTCTTTTCTAAACTAAGTGTATTCCTGTTCTTTCCAGCTACATCATTGTTCCAGAACAACTGCTAAAAATGACGGCTAATCCTGATCTCCCTTCCCAACTAGGCAGTAAACTTTGGGCAGTTACTTATTGAAAGGTGACTAGAGAAAGGACTTGTCATTTTACAACAGAAGTGCATGGGAGCCAATGTTATACCCAGACCTTCATTCCCAGAATGAAGGTGTTAACGTTATTAGACGTTGTCCTCACAAAGGTCTCTCCTGTTTCAGAACAATGAAATCACCCATATGAACCAAATTCCAACTTTACGACTTTACTAAATGTGTGAATTTGGGCAAGTCCCTTCACCTCTCTAAGCCTCAGTTTTCTCATCTGTAAAATGGGTATAATAATCAATAACATTAACTTCAAAGGGTTGTTGTTAAATTAAAGGAGTTAAGGTATATGAAACATTTAGTATAGTGTGTGGCTTACAGCAAGTACTCAATAAGTGGCCGATGTCGTTGTTTTTATTAATTATCATCATCACCTTTTCAGGAAGTATTTCTGCATTGCCGGGTTCTTGTCTGTGCAATGCTGGATGAGCGGTCCCGCTGTGCCCAAGGTTGCCACCGGCGAATGCGTCGGGACACCGCAGAAGAAGACACAGCTGGTGCAGAGAACCAGGTGCTGACAGGAGGCCCGATCATCATTGACTGGGGGGACTAGCAAAAACGCAGCAGCTTGAGCCCTGGCCCTCCTTGGAACTCACTGGTCTCCTCCTTGGAACTTCTCCCCACACCCTCTAAGAACATCAGTCAACATCCTAGAAAATCTGCATTTTGTAAGCCTCATACTGTGAGTGTAGACAAACTCTGATTCTAGTCCATGCAGTTGGCAAAAGTCATAGTACTGCTGAATGATGAGGCCCGAATGGGGCTTCATCTTTCTCATGTTGAAAGCTAAGCTGTCCACTCAGAAGCTCGCCCCATCTTCCCCGTTTTTCCCTGCAATAAAGCACCCCATGTATGATGCAGTAGGACCCCAAAAATGAGAATTGGGTACAAGATTTCAAATAAGAAATCATTTTAAAAATTAACTAGTTGCTTGAAATTATGACTAAAATACCCAATGACTCTTTAAACATGTAAATAATAATCATACCCAGAAATTTGAATTCAAATGCAGAACACTTATAGGGAGTTTGGAAGTTTATCGATACAGCACTGTGTAATTTAAAAAATACTATTTGGTTTTTCTCTTGCACAATATTTTCCTTTGATGTTTTTACATTGCCTTAAGTAGAATGTTTTCACTTAATAAATGTTAATAAATTTATTAATACCCATTTAAGTGATTAAATGACTGAATTGTAAGCAAAATTAAAGTTTGGTACCATATGTTTCTATGGCAAGAACAAGGCATAAAACTATATCATACTTTATTCTGTAGGTGCTTGATAAATTTTATTGAAATAAATATCATGAACTACAGAGATAAATTTTGTCTGCAGTTAAATCCAATTTTTAATATGCTAATTACTTTAATGGCTTTACATAAGGTCAAGGAAACCCTGGTGGCGCAGTGGTTAAGAGCTACAGCTGCTACAGCGGTTGGAATCCACCAGGCGCTCCTTGGAAACTCTATAGGGCGGTTCTACTCTGTCCTATAGGGTCGCTGTAAGTCGGAATCAACTCAACGGCAATAGGTTTGGGTTTTTTTTTTTTTACATAAAGTCAGAGAAATAGTTTTTTCTTCTTCTTTTTAAAAATGGCTACAGTCAACAATTCTTAAAGGAAGAGAAAGGAGAAAATAATCTAGATCTAGAAAGTGATCTAAACTTTTTCTGTAAAGGGTCAAATGGTAAATATCAGCTCTGCCATTGCGGCATGAAAGCAGTCACAGACAATACATAAACAGCAGAGAGTGGCTGTGTTCCAATAAAACTTTACAAAAACAGGCTGGCTCGCCTGTTTACTAACCCCTGATCTAGATTAATGGTCCTCAACCCTCACTGTGCATTAGAATCACCTGAGGAATGTTTCTAACATACCAATATGTAGGCACCACCCTCAGAGACTCGTCTTTTTTTTAAACTCTCCTCAGGTGATTCTAATCTGCATTTAGGGAATGACTATTTGTCTCTTACTCCCCTCAGATTTCAGGGTCCTTTCCTAGCTATCTCCATTGATAGCTCTTACCACGTGCTTCTCAGATCTTGGCATGACTTTAACACCACTTAGTAATTAGGAATACCAAGAAGGAGGACAGGTCACTGGAGGAAGAAACAGAACCTCAGAGACCTAACTCCAGCTGACCTGCACCTCTTTGGTCTTCATCAGGTAAGCCTCTGACCATCCCACCTGTTTTTCTTGTTTTTTTTTTTTTAATCTCTCCAGCACCAGTGGGAATCATTATCGTTGGTGGAACTTACCAGGTAGTTTCTGTTCTCTTCTAACTGAAATGGAAACACATGGTGATACTGGAATTCATCTCTTTTCAAATTTTCTAAAAAGTACATTTTATTAAATATGAAATGCTTACTGTAACTGAAACATGGACCAGAGGAAAGCCATTGCCTCCCAGTGGTTGGACTTCCCAAAATTTCATTTATGAATATAATTATCAGGTCCAGGAACCTCAGGGGGTGTTTGTGTTTTAGTCTTTAAGCTAAGAACTGAATTTCCAGGCAAATGTGTCTTCACTGGGGAGACCAGCGGTAAATGACAAGTAGCCTTCAAATCACTCCAGGTCTTTTTTCCAATTCTTCTTGAAGGATGTGACTCGTGTTTCAAACTGTAGAACAAATATCTCCTTTCTCCTGCTTTGTGGTGTTCAGACTGTGGAAGAAAGGAGACACATCTGCTGCACTGCCATCTCCAAGACCGACAGCTTGGTGTCACTCAAAAACAGGAAGCCATCACCTCTTCCTCATAACTCATCTTTCTCCTCCTCTGCACAGATGCAGGCTGCCCGCTGACTATTCATAAAGGGTCGGCAGCCCAAGGTCCATACAGTATTGAACACAGTATCAGCCAATGAATCGCAGGCTACTTGAAAGAAATGAAGAGACATATAAGAGGTTAATACACAGGACTACTCCAAGTAGTATGAGTCATGTTGAAGAGGCAATGTATTTTCAAGGATGACATGACACACAGAGGAAGGTAGAGGCAATAATCCAAACACATAATTAAAAAGAAAAGCATACATTTAAGTTTTTGGAGAAGCTCCCATTTGATCCAGTAAAGCAGAAAACACTTTGGAGTGCCCTCCTTCTGTGGGCCCCTGGGTCAAATCCATGGTTAGCAATCAGAATCTCCCATACCACAATGCCCACCCCATGGAGAATCTACCATTTTTGTAGAAAACTCCCTCAATTAACACTACCAGGTTTTCTATAGCTTTCCCTGTTCAAGTGTGGCATGAACAACCATTCATTCACTGAAAAAACATTTGCGTGTGTTGGGTATGTTGATCAGCCACTCTGTTAGGTATCAGGGATAGAGACAAAAGGCATCCCTAACTCAAGGATCTCACTGTTTGGCAAAGAAGTGGACAGATAAACAGACTACAGCATGATGAAAGTAACCCCAAGGTGTTAAGACAAGCCCATATGAAGGGCCTCTAGCCCTTTGGGGTTATTAGGGAAGGCTTCTCAAATGAGGTGAGATATCTAGGTTTAAATATAAAAAATACATGCAAATGTTTATATATATACATATATATATATATATATATATATATATATATATATATATTCTTACCACAATTAAAAAAAAGAATATATGATCAGGGAAATGAAGTATTAATACATGCTACAACATGTATAAATCTTAAAAATATTAGGATAAGTAAAAGAAGCCAGGCCACATTATATAATTCCATTTATATGAAATGTCCGGAATAAGCAAATCTATGGAGACAGAAAGTAGATGAGTGGTTGCTAGGGGCTAGGGATAAGGGGGAATGGGGAATAACTGCTAATGGGCAGGGGCTTCTTATTGGGGTGATGAAAATATTCTGGAATTAGTGGTGATATTTGCACAACTCTGTGAATGTACTAAGAAACACTAATTGCACACTTTAAAAGGATGAATTCTATGGTATGTGAATTATATCTCAATTTAAAAAAAGTCCTCACTTAATGAAAAAAAAAGAAAAGAAGTATCTATGCATACTACAACATGGATGAATTTTGAAAACATTATCATAAGTGAAAGAAGCCAGTCACAAAAGACCACATATTGTATGGTTCCATTTATATGAAATGTCCAGAATAGACAAATCCATAGAAACAGAAAGTAGATTAGAGGTTGCCAGGAGCTGGAGGGGGAAGTGAATAGGGGGTGAATGCTAATGAGTATGGAGTTTCATTTTGGGGTGATGAAAATGTTCTGAAATTGATTGTGGTGCTGGTTGCACAACTCTACAAATGTATTAAAAACATTGAATTGTACACTTCAAATGGATGAACTGAATAGTATGTAAATTGGATCACAATCTGTTTTAACAACAACACATGGATGATCAGGGTGTTCCAAGAAGAGGGAATGCAGGAGCAGAAAGGTGTAGGCCATCAACCCAAGTAGTCTGAGATGACAGGAATCAGGAGTAACCAAGATGATGCTGGAGAGGCCGGCTAGGGCTGAATCAGGAAGGGCCATGTATGTCGTACTGAGGAGTTTGGATTTAATCCTTAAGGAAGAGGAATCTGTTGAAGGACTTTAAGCAGGGGTTGGAGATGATCTGTTTTGTGTGATATAAAAATATATCTAGTCCCACCAGGGAAGGAGACCAGCAGCAGAGACCCGGCAGCAGGAGAGGGCACTGTGGGCTTCCGGCCCACGGAGAGAGAAAGCTGAGTGCCTTTGGGCAGAGACTGAGGGCCAGGGAGAGGCGTGCCTGGGAGCACAGCTGAGAAGAGGCTATCCTGGTGTAAGAACTGTATCCTGAGTGTTCCTGAACGTGAATTGTAACTGTTACTTTCCCTAATAAACCCCAGAATCATGAAAAAAATATATATATATATATCTAGTCCCTACTGGGAGAATAGATTCAACAGGACCCAGAGACTGGGTTAATTTGCAGTAACCAGGCAAGTGGGACTATCAAAGAGATATTTAGGAGAAAGAATCAATAGGACATTGCTTGGACGAACAAACTTGACCTGACCCTAGATTAGTAGCAGGTACTTTTTCACCGTTTATAGGTCCAGATACTGATACGCCCTTTTACAGGGTCTAATTAATTATTCATATGTTCAAGTCCTTATACGTTCACTTTAGGACGACACTCTAGACATTGATCTATGAACAAGATCCAAGACTCTTTCCATTGTGAACTTCCTGTGGCATGGGGCCAACTCTTTCCAAGCCTGAATGTCAACCTTTACTGTCTAAGATTAGATAATGCTAGTAGCTAGATATAATGTTCTGGCTTTGGAAGCTGAGGGATTAAAACGTTTCCTAATATTAATTGGGAAAAAGAAATGATAGAATCTGTGCTAGAGACTGGGTATCTGAGCAGTTGTTTAAAACTAGTCATCGTCAAGTCTATAGACCTTCACACACAAAACGATCATTCTTTGAATTCTTATCCTGACTGAGAATAAAATAAGGAAAAAAGTGCCTAAACCAACGCAAGTTGTCTTATGCAGAATAACTTCCAATATGGAAAATTATTTACAGTGAAATGGATAACCACAGCCAGTTGGGCAACTCTTTCTGTGGTCTTAAAGGATAGAATTTATTTCTCTGGGAAGGCTTTGGTATAGCCCTTTCCATCAGGAGTGGCGCCAGCAGCTCCTGGACAGGAAAACAAGAACTTTAGTGAAGCGGTGCCCAGAATCTTCCTTCACCCTTTCTTGCATTGATCACAGTGTTCTATAAAGAAGTCCAGTGGGCTCTGATGGTATCTTTGAGTAAAGGGGCTCTGGTTACAACTCTATGTGAAAACAGGAACAAAGGTCCCTGCTCAAAGAAATGCCCTGCAGATACCTACCTTCCACTTTGGAGACAAAGCCCAGACTCCGCTTAAGATCGGAGCAGATAGAGTGGAGACACCATCGGAATTTTGCATCACAGCGATACTTGTTGGCACCACATGTGTCATAGCAGACGTCCAGCTGGTTGCAGCACTTGGTCATTGCTGGAATGCCCAAGTCCATCTGGGGAAAAGGGAGGGAAGAAAAAAGAAGGGAAAAAAATGCCACGTTTCGACCAAGGACCTTAGGCAACCCTGGCCACCTTGTTATGAGCTAGCCAGTTCTCCAATTCCTGCTCCATATGCAGACCAATTCAGAAACACCAATTACCCAGTAAAATATATCAGATGGAGAGTTATAGCATGCTAAGCTTTAAACTGTGATTTAGTTATTCGTTTAATATGTGACTCTGAATGGCCCATTTTTTTCTACTTTTTCTTTTAGAGTTTAGTAATTTCCAAACTGACAGACTGCTGCAGTGATGAAAATAGAGATCAGAAGGTAGTTAAACAGGCAGAGCTGCAGGGCTTCCAAGTTCAACCAAAACTCATGTTAACATTTCCATGTGAGATTTTGTAAGGCTAAAAGTATGCAAAACTCAGCCTCAGTTCATCAAGAAGTCACCAGCACTTATCAGGGACCCATCCCATACAGCACTATTTTAACAGTGTGTCTATGTGCCCTGGTGGCGTAGTGGTTAACAGCTTGGCTGCCAACCAAAAGGCTGGCAGTTCAAATCCACCAGCCGCTCCTTGGAAACCCTATGGGGCAGTTCTACTCCATCCTATAGGGTCGCTATAAGTTGGAACCGACTCAAGAGCATCTAACAACAACAACAACATGCGTCTGTATATGTCGAGGATCAGAGTGGGGAATAGAACACACAGTTCCTGATCACAAGGGGTATGGTCAAACCACAATGTCTAACACACACATACACATTTACTAAGTGTCCTGTAAACAACTGTAAATGTTGTAGCATAAACTGAGTACCTAAATTCATAGAATAGAATACCACACAGAGAGTCATCAAACAGGAAAGATTGTTTTAAGAGGGTTTGGAAAGAAAACTGAGAGGATGATTATTAGAGATGAGGGTAGACTTAGGATACAGCAGGTAGAGAAAGAAAATAATGAGCAAATCATATGTGGGCAAGTCAATTCGTTTGTTTAGTCTTCTATGGGTCTTAGCAGGGAAATATGTATGTATGTATATGTATAAAATCTTTTTTTAGGACTTCTGGGCAACATGGTGCTATAAGCCGAAGCACCATGCCGTCCCTCCACAGCAAAGATCCAAAAAACTAAGCCAAACAGAGAAAATGGCAGTCCTGAAACCCTAAGCATCAAATTAAGAGATAAAGAACTCAGCCAAGCACCAAATGGAATAAGAAACTGACAGAGAACAGAGAGCGAGGCGAGATACATGCAGAGGTCCCCTATTAGCTACTGCAGTATGGATCCGCCATCTTGGACTCCTATCAGAGACCAGCAAACAGTGGGTACGAGAAAGCAGCTTCACGGAGCTTCCAGCAGGAGACAGAACAACTGGTAACCAGCAATATACGCTTTCCCACCCCCCACCCTTCTTCACCCCCACTCGGCTTCCTCTGCTTCCTGCGGCCACAGTCTCTTGGCCGGGAAGCATCGGCTTCACCCTGGGTTGCTTGGATTCCACCTGCCCGCACTGGCCGGCTCCCTAAGTGCTATTTGTTGGCTGCTGGTGTTGCTTTTTTCCACTCTTTATATTTCTTCCTTACCTCTCACCACTTCTCCCTCCTTTCTCTCAAATACCTGGCTCTGTGCACCATCTTTGCTTCTTCCTGAAAGGCTGTGAAACGCTGCTCAAATGTGAGACTGCTTCCCAGCTCGTGCTGCCACACTGGTGGGATCCCGGGGCTCTTTTTTATTTGTTTTGAATTGTTTATTTGTTTCTTTTCTTTTTCTATTCTCGAACTGGGAGAACGTTCTAGCCAGGCAGTACTGCGCGTCTTGGGACCAAACCCCTCAGTTTGTGCAGACACACAGAAAGATCCCTGAGACATTTTTTTTTCTTGTTCTTTTTAGGGTTTTTTTAAATGTATTTTTTGGGGTTTTTTTCTTTTTTCTTTTTTTAATTTGTTTGTTTTCTTTTCCCTCTTTTTCCCTTTTTGTCTTTCTTCATTACTCAGTTTCTTGTCTCTCTATACTTTCCTTCTCTTCCTGTCCCCTGAATACCTGGCGCTGAGTGACACCTCTATGCCTTCTAGCTAGGCTGTACTTGACAGCCTGGGAGCAACTTCCCCAGACCTCATAGCTGCAGCAGTGGGATCCCTGGGAGATTTGCTTTTCTTTCTGAATTTTTATTTATTCATTTTTTCTTTTCTTTTCTTTTTTTATTCTTCTCCTCTGTGTTTTTCTCCATTTCATAATCTCTCACCTCTCCACTCCAATGGCAAGCTCCCCTCGCACTCTTTTTGGTTTGTATGTTTTTGGCTCCTTATGTTTTCCTCTCTCCTCTCTCCCATACCTATCTTAGCTCCACACATCACAATCTTCCCTCTCCATCCTGCCTACCTGCACCGTGCGCTAAACATCACAATAGCAAGCAACCCAGGCATGGCCTACTGGAATGTGCCCTGCACTGATTACTGACCCGCCCTGGTGGCCGTAGTAAGTGCCACAAAAAACCCATCCCAGCAACTCCTCTTCAGCTAGACTTGCCCTGCTGTACCATTTCTGAGCGACTGACCCTGCCAATTGGAGGAGGCAAAAAGTCTCGTGCCCACAGATGAGCAAACAACAAAGAACACACGGCCCGCCTGCTCAGACATAGCCAAATAAAACAAAAAAACAGGACAAAACAAACAAATCTACAATCAATAAATGAGGAAAATAACTACCAAATGTCCCAAAGACAGCAGACAACATCAAAACATTTACAAAAGCAGGACAGGATGGTTCCCGTAAGCATCCAAAATAAAACACCAGATCACTTTCCATTAGAAGAAAAGGCACTAGAACTACCTGATAGGGAATTCAAATCTCTAATACTCAGAATTATCCAAGAGTTGAAGCAAAAAGCAGACAAAAATGAGGAAAAAATAGACAAATTCATGGAAAATACAGACAAAAAACTGGAAGAATTCAGGAAAATAATACAGGAACAAAATACCAAAATAAATTCCCAACTAGAAATCATACAGAAACAACAATTAGAAATCCAAAAGATAAACAACAAGATTTCGGAAATGGACAGTGTCATAGAAGGGCTGAGGAGCAGGTTTGAAACAGTGGAAGATAGGATCAGCGAAATTGAAGGCAAACACTTGGCTACAACTCTGACTGAGGAAAAATCAGAAACAAGAACGAAGAAAAATGAAGAGACCCTGAGAATTATGTGGGATACAATCAAAAGTAAAAATCTGCAAGTGATCAGAGTTCCAGAACAGGGGGAGAAAACAGAAAACACAGAGAGGATCATTGAAGAACCTCTGACAGAAAACTTCC